ACACACACACACACACACACACACACACACACACACACACACACGCTTATCCTTATTCTCTTCTAGGGAGTCCCGCCTGCCAACTGGACATCTGGAGGGTGATCCCCACCCTGGGGTGCTGCTCGTGGCCCCTCAGCCCCTGCCCCACTTCGCCCCTCTAGATGTCCCAGAGCTCCTCCTCCACAGCTCCCTTGAGCACCTCCGCTTGGAGGGACCTTTCGGCAAGGAGCACCCCCAACTCTGAAGCCTCCAAAGTATTCCAGAACCATCGCCTCTTCCCCCATAGGCGCCCCCAAGGACACCGCCAGGACTCAAAGCCTCTCATAAAGAGACAGGGATCCTTCCCTCCCCACCAACGCAGTGCTGTCTCTCTGGCTTCTCTGGAAAGCAGCGGGGCCCCTTGTGATGCGCTGGGCTGTCCCCTGAAAGGTCAGCAGTTCCAAACCACCAGGGGTTCCAAGAGAGAAAGAGGAGGCTTTCCACTCCCGGAAAGAGTTGACAGTCTCAGACACCCACAGGGGCGTTTCTGCCGGGTCCTATAGGGTCGCTGTGAGTCTGAATCAACTCCATGGCAGTGAGATTGGGTTGAGTTTATGGGTAGATTATCGGAATCGTGTTCATTTAAGCAATTTTCTATCAGCCTGCTGGCAGGAAGAAGCGGGCTCCAGCAGCGTGGCAAGCTGTACCCATTCTTCCAAGGGGCCAGCCGACCTCGCCCCTCTGGGGCTTCCTGCAGACTGCGTGAAGCTTCACGGCGCTTGGAGGAGGGTCCTGAGGAGAAGCACTCTCAAGGGTTGCTGCGTTCAAAAGCAGATGAAGCAGGAAAAGACACCCACAGGGCACAAAAGAGACCATCGTTTATGAAATGCTGCACATGGGCACAATACTTGGTAGAAATATAACAGGAGATATACTTAAAATGCCAAAAACAAACAAACAAAAACATCCAAACAAAACAGCACACTTACTAAATTCCAGAGGGAGGCGGAAAGAAGAGGCAAACCGGGCCGGAAAATACTGGAAAGCGTTTGCCTCCTGCCCAGTCATGAGAGGGGGAAGGCTACCTCCCGGCTCTCTTCCTGCTAGAAGGGCGGAGTGATGTCCAGCCCACCACCATGTCCCGCTGGAAGGAGCCCTGGTGAGACGGTGGATTAAGCATGGGGCTGCTAACTGAAAGGTCAGCGGTGCAGGGCAAAGATGTGGCAGCCTGCTTCCGCAGAGACCGGCAGAAACAGGTCTACGCTGTCGACCGGGGTCAACTCAGCAACAGCGGGTTTGGCCTGAGTCTGTAAGTCCCGTCACAGTGGTACCTTGTCCACCTGTTCCGCCATAGAGGCGGAGCCGAAGGCCGCACTCTTGGACCTCAGGCCAGCCCCCAACCCTGACAATCATGCTGTCTCCTTTTAGATTTCCATTCTCTATTTCCGGCGCTTTCTCCAGAGAGGCTGCCGTGGCCATCCCCCCCACCCCAGGGACAGACGGTTTAACCTGCTGCCCCCGGAACCCAGCAGCCCAGTTAGAAATGGTGATTTTCGGTTTATTGCTCAAAAACAAAAATCCAGAAGCCAAGATGGGGATGTGGTAGGTTGGGGAGACCGCAGGCAGGGGCTTGACCCAGCTCGCTCCACTCCTTCACCCCTGGTCCTCTGACTCAGCCAGGCCAGCGCTCAGACCTGGGGGCCCGGGGCACGTGGGGGCAGTGGGCCCTGGTGGTCAAGAGAAACAGACTACAGCCACCAGGTAGTGGGGCCGTCCTCGTGGGGTGTCCTGGGCTGGAGGGGCCCTGGGAGTTGCAGGCTGGCTGAGTTCCCCTTCCAGGGTCCAAAAGCCAGTGATGGGTACGCAGGGTGGGGGCAGGCCCCTGGTTGGCAGCTGAGAAGAGGCGGCTTTGGGCGACAGGATGCTGGTTTATTTACGGTGGGGTCTCCGGGCCACCGGAGCGCCCCCTTTGGGGGACTGGAAGGCTATTTACACAGCAGGGGGGAGGGGAGCCAGGAGCCTGGTCTCCCCCTGCTCAGAGAGGCGGGGAGGGCTGTCCTGGGTCCTGCGGCCTCTGTCCTGGGATTCAGATGGACACTTCATACTCCCGAGTATCCTGGGGACAGAGATGGGATCAGATGGGGTGGGGATGGCAGCCGGAGGGGAAGCGCATCCAGGAGGAGAGTGACAGGACCCCCCTAACGGAAGACGGCCTGCGGTTCCTGAGGTCGGGGTGGGGGAGACGGGGCCTGCACCTGGCTAATGGGCGGGTCTGGTTGGCTCTACAGTCTCTTAAAATCTGAAAGAGCTGAATTTCTGGATGGCCTTAGACAACTGGGAGATCTGGCCATTGGGCACAAACTTCCACTCGGCCACGGTGGGCGAAGGGCCCCAGCCACAGGCCTCCCTGCTCCCCAAGCACAGCCAACCGACCAGCTTGTGGCCTTGGCCCTCGTCGGAATGAAATGCCCAGGTCAGAGGACGGAGACCCTAGAGAACAGGTTGGGGGTCCTGGTGGCATCTGGTTCCATGTCGGGCTGCTAGCCCAGGGTCAGCAGTTTGAAACCACCAGCTGCTGTGTGGGGAAAAGACCCCCATCTTTCTACTCTGGTAAGGAGTTACAATTCCAGAGACCCCACAGGGGCGGTTCTGCCCTGCACTACAGGGTTGCTTTGAGACCGCATCAACTTCGTGGCCCAGGTAGAGAGCTGAGGGCTCTGGTGCCCTGGGGTCGGGGAGGCGCTCACCCCAGCTTCGTACAGCGGGTTGCTGAAGTCTGACTCCACCGTGATGGGGCTGTAAGAGTGGGAGCCCGCGAAGCCAAAGAGGGATTTTCCTTGCAGCCTGGAAAAGGGAGGGGGGCGGAGGTTTCTCAGGAGCTGAGCTCCTGAGCTCCTCTTAGCCCCGGGCTCCCTGGCCAGGCAGACCTGAGGTCGGATGTCCCCCGAGGGCCCAGTACTCACTTGGTGTAGTATATGTAAATGCCACAGCCAAGGACAATGACCAAGCCTAGGGGCAGTAGGATGGCCAAGGCAAGGTTTCCACCCTCCAGCTGTCTCGATGGGTCTGTGGTCTGGGTCACTGGCAGAGGAGGAGAGACCAATGAGCCAGGGCTACCCTGGACCCGAACCCTGGGCCTTCATCCCCCCGGGGCCTGGCCTCCTCCCCCCAGCCTCTGCCTTGCCCTCCCGCCCTGGCCAGGGCCTGGGCCTGGGCTGGGCCTCCACCTGTGCCCTCACTGACCTTCCAGTTTCCGGTTGTCCAGGAGCTCCTCATAGGCCACTGCAGGGAGAGGAGGGAGGGGAGGGGGCGGGGTCTGAGCCAGGGAGGGGAAGGGAGCTGGGGAGAGGGCCAGGAGCCCCGTGGGGCTAGGCTGAGAGCCTGGGTCTCTGCGTTCTGCTTAACCACAACGAGAGGTTCTCCTGCCCTTCCTGGGGAAAGGGCCCAGAGTGGTCAGAGCAGGACCTTCTGCCTCCTCCTCCAGGCCCCTAAACGACTCAGGGGTCCTGGACGGTCCGAGCCCACCGGGTCTTTGGAATGTGTCAGATGAGAAAAGAGGTCAGCTCCGAGAGGACAAGGGACTTTCAAACCAAGGCTTCTTCTATACGGCCCTGGCATAATGCCACGGCCCTGGGTTTCTGGGTGAGAGCCCGCAGGAGGTGAGAGCACCCTGTGGTCTCAAATTCACTACCTGATTGTCCCAGCCCGGCCACTGCCCTCACACTGCTGTCTGCCCCTCCTGCCACCAGCCCTGTCTGCCCAGGCACCTTTGCAGAGTGGAGGCTGGCTGGTCCACTGCGAGGGGTGGCCGGGCACACAGGTGATGGTAACCTCGCCGATGAGCTCGAAGCCCTCGTAGCAGAAGAAGCGCAAGGATTCGCCCGCCTGGTAGTGATGCTTGTATAAGGTCTGGTAGCCGTTCTCTGGCACCCCGGGGTTCAGGCATGGCTCATACTTCACTGCAGAGAAAGGGCTGGTCACTGGCCAGCCACACAGCATGGCAGGCAGGAGCTTATCCCGAGGTTACCCCAGCACTCTTCCCAGAGCGTCCCTCACACTCACAGGCGCACTTGGGGACCCGGTCGCTCCACTTGGGCGTGCCTGTGTCTCGGCTGTAGCAGGTGAGCACGGCAGCCCCCTCCAGGCTGTACCCCGGCAGACAGCGGTACTGGACGTGGGAGCCCACAGGGAAGCCAGCATCCGAGGCGGTGCGGTGGCCGTTGGTAATCTCACCGGGGTCGGCACACGTCATGACTGTGAGGGGAGGGCAGGGTCAGCAGGTGAGACTTTTGGAGCATCTTCTCTGCAGAGCACCCACCCGACCCACCACATCCTCAGAATTAAGGGAGCAGGTGTCGAAAAAACAAAATTTCGAATATTTTAGATGACAGACTTCTTCCAGAAAACAGGAGGGATGGGGCCGCCATGGGGGGCTTGCCCACATCCAGTGCCCGGGCGGACCAGCTAGACCCCAGCAGGGTCGGCCTTGTGTGGCAGACAGTCCGGGTAGGCCAGCAGCTGCCCCTCTCTAAAGGGACATGATGGCCCTCCCCCCCAGCAGCCCTGTCACGTAAGTCCAGTCACTTCTCTGGTCGCTCTACGGCCCACTTGACCCCTCAGGCATTCTCGTTTACATCTCCTCTGGGGGAGAGCCGGGCACCCTGCTCAGCATTTTGCAAACATGAGACCACTGACAGCTCATGCCAAGAGGGCAATGTTACTGTCACCTCCTTCTGACAGAAGTGGCACTGGCCCATGGTCTCTCAGCGAGGGAGGGGCAGAGCCGGTCCCTGCTCAGAGTCATGGCCACGGAACTCAACCCAAACTCACTGCCATCGAATCAAGGTCGACTCATCGCTGTCCCTGTGGGTGTCTGAGATTGTAACTCTTTATCGGAGTAGAAAGCCTCGTCTTTCTTCCGAGAAGCAGCTGGTCATTTTGAACTGCTGGCCTTTGGGGTTAGCAACCCAGGGTGTAACCATGATGCCGCCAGGGCTCCCCCGGCCAGAGAACAGTGGAGAGAATCCCATAGGTTTGGAAATTTCAGCATGCCTCCTTCTCCGGGCCTGCTGAACCCTCCTCAGGCCTGCGATTCTGTGAATCCCTCTGGGGCTGGGGCGCTCACTCCTTCCACAGGTGTCCCTTATAAAGCTTTCCTTGTGTTCAGCCCAAATCTGGCTTCCTGAAACTTTCCCACTGCCCCACTCGGCCACAGGGAGAATGGCAGTCCCACAGGCCCATGGCAGTCTCTGACATTTGGAGGAAACAACAAGATACTCGTCAGCCCTGTTTAGCTCTTCTAAATGACAAGTGTTTCTGGTTCTTTCAAAGGCCACCTCTCTTCCCATAATCCTTCATGCGTAGAGCAGCCGCAACACCCTCGCCGTTTGCCTGCACCAGATGCCCAGTCTCCAAACTCACAGCCCCCGAGCTGATGCCGACTCACAGCGACCCCATTGAACAGGGTAGAACTGTGGGCTCCTGAGACTATAATTCTTTACGGCAGGGAAGTAAAGCCACGCCTTGTCTTTTTCCTGTGGACTGGCTGGTGGTTTAGAATTGCTGACCTTGCAACAACAAAAAAACCCCAAACCTCACTGCCAATCCAGTTAACGCCGGCTTAGCAGCGGCAGTGTAGAACTGCCCCTTTGAGTTTCCCAGACAGTAACTGTTGACAAGTGTAGAAAGCCCCATCTGTCTCCCTTGGAGCGGCTGGTGGTTTCAAACTGCAGACCTTGCAGATCGCAGCCCAAGACACAACCGCTAGGTCATCAGGTCTCTTGAGGCCTTACACTAAGGTAAACTGCACACATTTAGAAGAATCCTGACCACAAGTGGGGGAAATGCATCCAGGGTTTGCCAGGGCTCTGGAGGCTGGGCACACTGCTGGAATGATTGCCGAGATCATGGTTAACCCTTAAACTGAAAAGATCCCTGAAGTCTTCTCAAAAGGACACGCTGGTCTAGCTTATTAGCTACTAAAGAAGGTCGGCCTTGCACGTGGTGGGCTTTTAAGATCTACCTGCAGGTGACCAGAGGAGCCCTGGTGACCTGGCTGTTATGCCTTGGGCTGCTAACAGCAAGGTCCACTGTTCAAAACCACCAGCCACTTTGCAGGAGAAAGACTTAGCTTTCTACTCCCAGAGACACCCACAGGGGCAATTCTACTCCGTCCTGTAGGGTCACTGTGAGTCAGAATTGACTCTGTGGCAGTGAGGTCTTTAGGGTGGGGGTGGAGGGGTTGCAGAACCAAGTTGCTAAGGACTAAGGCCCACGGTCCATTCCTTCTGTGTTAATGGAGGAACACCCAGAAGAGAGTGAGGAAGGGTCCATCAGAACGAGGGACTCTGTGTCCCGGAATTGCTGACTGCTGGATGCTCTGCTGCTATTCCCAACCACCATGAACGGACTTGGGGTTTGTCTTTTACTTAAGGCACACTCTCTAACGACCCTTGCATTAGCTAAGGGGCTCCTCAGAGAGACCACCAGACTGCAGCGGGGACTGGGGTGGGGGTGGGGGAAACCAAGAGTGCGTGGGGCTAAGAGGGACCCAGCACGCGGAGAAGGCGGGAGGGCAGGGCAGAGGGGCACGGAGCCCACAGGTGAACCCCAAAGAACATGGGGCGCTGCTTGAGGAAGAGAGGGGCAGGGCCTAGAGGGCAGGGATGGAACCCAGATGGGGGGCGGGGAGGGGGTCGCAGAGGCAGAAGAGAAGCGGGGTGGAACCCAGAGGGAACGGAGGCAAAGGGGTGGTGGAGGAGGCGGGGCCCAGGGTGGGGCGGGGCCTGGAGTGTGGAGGAGGAGCCCAGGGGATAGGGGCTGCACCCAGACGCGCGGGGGGGGCGGCTCACTCTTTTGGCAGGCGGGGGGCGGGGCGCTCCAGGACAGGTCCCACTGGCAGGTGAGGATGTCGGAGCCGAGCAACTCGTAGCCAGGCTCGCATTGGTAGGTGAGCACCGTGCCGCGGATCAGGTCCCCGTGGGACGCCGTCCTCCAGCCCCACTCCGGAGGCGGCAGCTCGGGGCAGGTGTCGTTCCTCGGGACCTCTGCAGGGGAGAGGCGGCCAGTTTGCAGGCTGCCCTTGGGGTCCCTTCCCGGCTAGCTGGCCGGCTGGAGCCTTGCGCATCTGCTGACCCTCGTCCCCAGTACCTTTGAAGTGCAGCACGAAGCCCTGACCCAGGCCTGGGTTTGGGGGCCCGGGGGGTGCCTGGAACTGCAGCGTGAGGTCGGGCCCGGAGGAAAGGAGGCGACGGCGCGGCTGAGGTCCCCGCAGTTGGGCCAGGACTCGAGCGCTGGGCCCGTCCCCGTCGAAGAGCGTCAGCATGTCCCCTTCACGTACATTCAAGCTGCAGGGCGAGGGGCCGGGCCCCGGTCAGCCAGTCCCATCCCGTGCTGCCTAATCCCTAACTCCGCCCCCTGGTGATCTCACCTACTCTCCTGCCCAGGCTTGGCCCCGCCTCACTTTCGGCCAATCCCAGGTTTGTCCTCTTTACTGGTCCCTCCCCGGTCCATCCGCTCTGCGGGTCCTCCCAATGCTGGCTGCTCAATCCCGAATCCGACTGAGAGAGACCCTTGTGGACACCTGGACGATGCCCTGCCTGGCTCTGCCCCATCCTCGCCCCTCTGTGCTCGGGCCCACGGTCGTCCAAGTGCGTGGTAGAGGTCAGCGCAACGCGGTGGACCGAATAGTGGCTGCAGCCATCCCAGGCTTGTCCTTACTAATTCTGCCCACGTTCTAGTTCCTTGGTCACCACGACAACTCTGGGTCTAATTGGAGGACCAGCTTTCTGGCCAGGCCCACTAGGGTTCTATCCAGCCATATGACCACCTCATATCAGATCATCAAATCGGTTAAAATGATGGACCCTGGCACGCATGCCCGCACGCCAGGAGTGCTGGTCATGATGAAACAGCTTGGGCCTGGGCCTTGGAAATGTCCCCAGGGGGCAATCCCAGAAATTACCAAAGGTCAGAGCTCTTTTTCACAAAAGCCCTGCAGAAAGGCCACATTAACCCCGCCCCCACACTTACTGGTCCCAGGTCACCTGGTTGACCAGTGATTTGAATCTATGAACCTAGATCCACCTGGCCACTGTTCCTCCGCCTCAACCCTGTGGCCCTTCCTCCCTTAGACCACATTGCATCTTGGGTAGAAGAACCAGCCGCTCAGGATGCAGGCTGGGCATCACCAGCCACACTTGGCGGAGCCTGCACCCTGGGTCCGCTCCCCAGGGCACACACGTACATCTCAACCTGGAGCAGGATGCGCTTCTCTTCCTGAACATGCAGGCCCCACACGCAGTCCTGGCCGGGGCTGTAGCTCTGGGGCCAGTCGGGAGACAGCACCACGCCAGCGGGCTCAGACAGCTCCCCTCCACACATGGCTGCGGGGGAAGGGGGCCAGACTCAGTTCCCCATGTCCCTCCACACTCCCGAGTGTTTGCACCAGACCTCTTGGTTTCCCACCATTTCTCACCCAACTTGCTTCCTGCTCTTCCTGCTCCTCCGGCAGGTTGGATCCGGACCATACCTTGCTGCTTTCCTCGGCCTGCCTATCACCTACCCTCTTGACTGAACCCAACTCCTGTGGTGGCTCCTGACAGCATTTGAGCAGGGGGCCCCCCCACCGGAATTCTCTAACAAGCCTGTCCGCTATTCAGCTAAGGCGACTGAGACTCTAGAAAGGGCAGGATTTATCCAAGGTTTGGGCACGAGCTCTCCCCTGAATGGCCTTCCTGAGACTACCACCCCCCACCCCACTCAGGGCCTGGTCTTTAGTCTGAAGGGTGGGAGACTCACCCTTGCAGGCTGGCTCTGTGTCATTCCAGTGGGGCTCGGGCGGGTCCACGCATTCAATGGCGTTGGGGGGCCCTGGGGGCTCCAGAGCATATCCTGGGAGGCATGAGAAGGTGGCCAGAGCCCCAGGGCGATACTCAGGGTCTGTGGTGGTGACATTGCCGTGTGCCAAGAAGGGGGCGAAGCAGCGATCTTCCTCGAAGGCTGGAAGGGAGTCAGAAACTCAGCACTAGGTCAGGTCTTAAGGGACCCTGCCCTGGGGCCTCGGGGTGCATTCCGGTGTGGTTTGGCCATTGGAACTTTTAAAAAATTAATGGCCCTTGAGCTTGCCTTTCACACCCCATTTTGCCCACACCCCCACCCTCCTCTTTTACAGCTGTAGGTGACCTCCTGGGTCTCTGGAAGGTGATTCCTAGGCGGGTCCAATCCCACCCACCATTCGACAGATGAGGGCACAGCATCAAGGATGGAAAAAGCCAAGATCATATTGCTGGGCGATGGACGAACCAGGTGGCCCAACCCCAGGTCCCTGGCGTTCCAGCCATAGCTGCGAGGCACTGGAAACGGCAACGTTGGGGACAGAAGGTGTCTCTGCAGAACTCGCTTGTGTGGGTGCCTTTTCTCCTCGCAAAAATAGCCATCGGCGCCTGACCATCCCGGACTAGCTGAGCTGTTGCTAGGATCCCAGATGGCAGCAAACACAAAAGCCACCCAGTTTCTACTTGGGCCGATGCCAGCACCGAAATGAATAGTTTCTAGGCCATTTCCGTGTGGGCCCCCCGGATCACACCGTAGCTGCAACACTAACTACCTGTAAGGTAAGACTTAGGTGCCTGTGCTACGGAGGAGGAGTCTGAAACCCAAAGAGGGGCGATGCCCCGCAGCTCCGGAGCCAGGCTTCCACCCCAGAGACTCTTAAGAGAAGACAAGGGCTTTCTGGACGCTTCCACGCTCGGGATCCACCCAGCAGTTTCCTTTTGCAGCTCCACCATCCTATTTCATGGTTACATAACCCGGCCAGGTGTCATATCCTAATCCCACCCACCCATCAGGACCTGTGCCAACTCCCGTTTTCCCCAGGCCCCACAGCAGAGGCACACTCTGCTCAGCTCTCGTCCTGTTTCGTTCTCTTTCCTGCTCTGGGCACACTGAAATGTTGTTGCTTCGAAGACCAGGCATCATTACTGCGCCTCAACCTTTGCCCCAACTCTGCTTCCACCTGGGCGGCTCTTCCCCAATGGCCCCCCTTTACAAATACTCTCCGTCCATGAAGATCTGGCTCCTAGGTCTCCTCTCGCATGATCGCTGACCTCTGGGCAGGGCATGACCTTCACCTCCTCTGAGCGGACACAGCTTTCTCCATCCTATCCCCGAGCTGCCTTGATTTCTAACTTGGCGCGTCTGCAGCGCGGCACTGTCGTGTCTATCTGCCTGCCATCCATGCCTCCTCCTGGTGGTCACACCCCTCTATTTTCCTTTCGGGGAACACATACAGGATGTGGGTCTACCAAATGAATACCACCTGCCCCCAGATACTGGGGGCACATGGCCCAACTTAGGCCAAAGAGAGCGTTTCCTGGCCTTTTTGCTGAAGCCCTCCAGAAAAAAATGATCTCTCTCTCTTCCTCCCCCTCCCTCTCTCTTTTTCTCTTCCTCCCCTCCCCCTTTCCTCCTTCCTCTCTCAGAATCCACCTGAGAATGGAACCAACATGACAGAAGGAAGCCCTGACTGAGAAAACGTGTCTCCTGGCTGTACCTGGATCCAGCCGTACCTGAAGCTTCATAGAAAAGGCCATCCCAGGAAATGAGAAGGGATCCATAGGGAGTGATCTCTGCAGTTTGGGACTGAGGAGACAAGCCAGCTTTCAGAGTCAAATGGCTGTGGGGTGTGCTCATGACCCTGCCTGGAGACCAGGAGGAGAGGGAGGGAGGTATCGGGGTTGGCGCCCTGGCATAGGGGGAGGCGGTTACCTTCAAATCGGAGGCTCAGCAGCAGGGGGTTGGCTGGTGTCTCTGAGAGCAGCTCCACATAGAGGGACTGGGCATCACTGATGAGACCCCGCTCTGGGACATCATCCATATCCGAGTCATAGATCACCGGGGACAGCGGGCTACCTCCGGAGCGGACCATCAGCCTGGGCAGACAGAGGACCAGTGGTTAGCGCTCTCCTGACTTATTGTTAGATGTCAACCATGCTTACAAGCCCCTGACACACTTTATCTCAGGTGATGGGTAGGTTTAGTGTACCAACCTGGCCAACAGGAACATGTGGGATTAATCAGGTCACAGTTTGATTGGAGGATAAAGAGATAAATGGCTTGGCAAGGCCCAAACCTTTCTTGCTCTCTGGTGATCGGACCAGGGTGCGGCTGCTTTAGCTAGTTCTCTGCCTCAACTTGTGAGCTACACTACCTGTGGGACAAGCCAACCTGTGGATTGTGTAGCTAGAGCTCCAGGTTTTTCGAGATCTGCTTTGCCACACTGCTGGTGTGTATATTGCTTGAGCTTGAGGCTGTCGGATCCTGTCCTCTTGCATTGCTTGAGTTCAATCTGGCCTGCTTCCCTAAGCACCTGAGCTGCTGACTGCCCTGCTGTTTGCTACCTGTGGGTGGGCTCTGTCTGCATTGTCCAAGGGAAGACTCAGCTGTCTGCTTCCTTGACCTTGGACCTGGCAGCTATCGTGAGTTGAAGGATTTCCAGGAAATTAACTGTTCCACGGAAGTGAGTTGAACTGAGCCCTCTGTGCTGCTGTTTGGACTAATTAGCTGTTATAGTCCTTCGTGCTGTATAAATCTATATCTATCCATCTATCTATCTAAATATAATCATAAGTGTCCTGGATTTGTTTCTCTAGAGAACCCTGCCTAACACATCTCATTGACTCCGCACAGGAACCAGAGGCACAGCGTGATTACACAACCTGCCCAACAGGACAGCAGCGCAAGGAGTGGCAGACCTGGGACGTCTGTTTGCTAAATAATGCGAACTACTCCTGTGCCGCTGGAGAGACGTCCAGGGGCTTCCTGCATGCTGGGCACCCTTCGAAGCCCTTTAGAAACCAAACTCGCTGCATCGAGTCGATGGTGGCTCAGAGCGACCCTGCAGGGCATGGTAGAACTGCCCCTATGGGTTCCCGAGACTGTGACTCCATTTTGTTTTGTTTTAGTTTTTCTTTCTTTTTTTAACGGTTCTATTGGCATGTGATTCCCATATCATACAGAGACTGTAATGCTGTACAGCAGTAGAAAGTCTCACCTTTCTCCCAGGGAGTGGCTGGTGGTTTCCAACTACTGACCTTGCACTTAGCAGCCTACCACGCGTAACCCACGATGCCACCAGATGCTTTACACAACACAACACGCTTCCTTTATCCTCACAGACACCTGAAGGGGGAGGAGCTAGGGTCTCTGTTCTACAGACAAGAAACGGAGGCTCTGAGAGGTTCAGTGACTTATCTCGTGCTGCCCACAACACTGCCTATGGCAGGAAAAGAATTCAACTGGGCATGGTACCGATCCCAGCTGAGATCTGGTCCAGGTGTGTCTGACAATCACCCCCTCCCCCCACCTCCCCAAATCCCCACTGCCCTGAGTCAGGCCCCAAAACCCTCACCGGTCATTGTCTTCATCTAGCGAGACTCTTTCAAAGTGCAAGTGTAGCCGACGTCCTTCAGCTGCTTCGATGACCCAGCGGCAGGTGAGATTGGGCCCGGGCGCCCCCCCGGGCTCAGGGGACACAATGCGGCCCAGTGTCGCATTGTGGATGGTGCCACCACAGGATGCTGCAGGCAGAGGGCACAGGTTAAGGCTGGTCTGGATGGTGGTGGTGGGACTTGTCCTTCTCTTGGGGCCTCAGCCTTTCTCAGGCCCCACGGTCAGACCTCTTGTGCTTCAACCTCAATGGGGGCCTGGCCCAGGGATGGCCTCTGCCCCAGAGGCTTACGTCACAGGACAGGACCTTCTCCAGGTCACCACCCAGCAGGGGAAATGGCTCTGGAGTAGGAAAACACCCCACCCCTCACAGAACAAAGAGTCTGCTAATGTCAAGGCTCTTCCCAAAGGCAAGCCTGAGATGAAGGCCCCCACCCCCCACCCCTACCCCCAGGCAAGGACACTGGCCCAGGTTAAGGATGAGGAACGTGTCACCAGGGCGCCTCTGGCCGGAGACAGGAAGGAGGGAGGCCGGAAGTCAAGGTGTGCGACTCTCTGCTCCGCCTGTGCCTCTGGTGGCGGTGGTTTAGCAGCGGCCCCATCTGCGTGGGGCCCAGGTTGTGTGTCCCCCTCCCCCCCCAGCTCCGGCTTTCCAGATGACCCCATTCCCCATGGGTCAGCAGGGATCAGAGAAGACTCCCGGCCATTGGTTTGGTTTCTGGTGTCTCCAGTGTGGCTCTTCCAGAACCGCTCGCACTGGCTTCTCTGTGCTCGCCTCCCTTCTCCGGGGCAGCCGGACAGGCCTGATACGACAGCTCTCATCGAGAGTGCCAGAGCAGGGCCCTCTCCCGCCTTCCATGGGCCACCTCCTTCCTTCCCATTCCTGCAGCTCCGCCCCGCCCCCACCGGCCACACTTTTGCTCAGAGCTCCAGTGGAAACGCTGAGCGCCTCCATGACGGGTCCTCCGGCACATGGGCTTCTCATCAATCCCTTGCCTGGAATCCGTCCTTCTATTGTCACCACCCTCACTCATCTGGCTGGCGGCCTCCCAACGAGTGTCCCTGCTCCTCTCCTCGGCTCCCCACAGCCTACTGGTCTCCCCACAGCCCCCTGGTCTCCCCACAGCCCACTGGTCTCCCCACAGCCCACTGATCTCCCTAGAACCCCTGGTCTCCCCACAGCCCACTGGTCTCCCCACAACCCACTGGTCTCCCTAGAACCCCCTGGTCTCCCCACAGCCCACTGGTCTCCCCACAACCCACTGGT